CAAAATTGCCAAACCCTTGTACTCAGCCACAGCAGGGGATCAACCCCTAAATTGGACTGCTGCTGAGGAACAAGCATTCCAGCAGCTAAAAACAGCTCTAACTCAAGCACTGGCACTAGCCCTTCCAGATGTTACCAAAGTCTTTACACTTGTTCATTCATGAACAACAAGGAATTGCCAAAGGGGTCCTCATTCAGACCCCAAGGCCATGAAAAAGACTGGTGGCTTATCTGTCGAAGAGACTGAACCTGGTATCTTCTGGCTGGCCCTCTTGTCTTCAAGCCATTACGGCCATGGCTTTGCTGGTTAAAGAAGCAGACAAGTTAACTTTCGGCCAGAACCTGGCTTTAACTGCTCCCCATGCTGTTGAGACTCTGCTCCGGGGAGCCTCTGGCCATTGAATGTCAAATGCACATATTACCCAGTATCAGAGCCTACTACTAGACCAGCCCAGACTAACTTTCTCTCCTACTCAATGCCTCAACCTGGCAACCCTGTTGCCTGATGACCATCCGGAGATGCCAGTGCATGACTGCAAGGATGTGTTGGACATTATCCAGGCCAGCAGACTTGATCTTCAGGACACTCCTCTGTGCCAGGCTGATGCTGACCTGGTCACGATGGTAGCGGCCTGGTACTAAATGGAGTCCAAAAGGCTGGTGCAGTGGTAACTACAGCTCATGACATAATCTGGTCACCGGCACTGCCTCAGGGTACTTCTGCCCAAAAGGCTGAGTTAATTGCTCTAACCCAGGCCCTGTGCTGGGGAGCAGAAAAACGTGTAAGCATCTTCACTGACAGCCGGTATGCATTTGCTACACTTCATGTACATGCCCTGATCTACAAAGAATGTGGCCTTCTCACCACAGCAACAGCCCAGATATACACATAGAGAAGAAGAGGCTGCAAAGCTGGTGGGAGCTTACAAGAAACCTGACGGCTGGTGGGTTAAAAATTCCAGAATTGTTCTACCTGAAGTTCTTGCAGAAAAATTAATAAAACAACTCCACTCTACCGCCCACCCAGGATGAACCAAAATGGCTGAACTGTTACATCGTTTTTATGTTATCAACAACTTAAAAAACCAAACTAACTCAGCAACTTTAATGTGTCCTGCTTGTGCTCACATCAATCCCAAGGGAGGCCTGAAACCCCTTCCAAGGAATCAGGGCATGAGGATTAAGGCCTGGTGAACAATGGAAAATAGACTTTACTGAAATAAAACCTCCACATGCAGGATACAATTATTTATTGGTGTTAGGAGACATTTTTTGGGGATGGGTAGAAGTGTTTGCCACAAGAAATGAAACTACCCTTACGGTTGCAAAATACTTATTAAATGAAATAATTCCTAGGTATGGGCTTCCTCTTTCTATTGGCTCAGACAATGGTCTTGCCTTCACCTCGTCCATAGTACAGCTGGTTAGTGAAGCACTGAACATCAAATGGAAACTGCATTGTGCTTACCAACCACAAAGCTCTGGATAGGTAGAATGCATGAACTGAACTTTAAAAAATACTTTATCTAAATTAATAATAGAAACCGGTGAAAAATGGGTAACTCTCTTACCTCTAGCTCTTCTTCAATTAGATGTACTCTGTATAAGGCTGGGTTTACTCCCTATGAAATCATGTTTGGAAGACCCCCTCCTCTGTTATCCTGCTTACGGGATGCTATTCTTGAAGAGTTTACCTATCAATCTCTGTTAAAGTATCTCCAGTCTTTACAGTGGGTATAGGACCTTGTCCACACCAATATCTGTGCTGTACTGCCAACTCCAACATCCACACTGTGTAATCCATTCAAGCCTGAAAATATGGTCTATATCAAAAAGTTCTGGAAAGAAGAACTGAGCCTCTCCTAAAAAGGACCATACAAAGTCATCCTCACCACCCCAATGTCACTCAAGGTTAGTGGGATACCAACCTGGATTCATCATTCACAAGTCAAGGAAGCTGGGGACGCTGAAGCCTGGGTCAGCCAAGCTTGCAGTTGGAATGCTAACGTGCCCCTCTGTCCAAACAACAACTGGACTGTGAACCAACATCCTGATAATCCTCTCAAGATCACCCTCTGAGCCCATCGTCCTATATCACCTGACCAGCCAGCAGCAGAAACCGTGAGACCTTGACCATAACTGAATGCATTGCACTTGTGGCAGGATGCAGCAAATGCTCAAATATATTTATTGTATGATTGAGTGAATTAACACAGAAACATGTAGCTGGTTCAGGATCAGCAGTTGGCC